CATGACGTTCTTACATGAAAGTGGAGGTTAACTTGCCCCCAGGCAATCGACATGAGATCGACTTAAGTTTCAGCCATGTTTTTTTTTTTTTTTTCTTTAACCTCTGAGGACAGTAGTGTATTATCTTAGACTGTGACTCATGAAAGGACAGTAGTGTATTATCTTAGACTGTGACTCATGAAAGGACAGTAGTGTATTATCTTAGACTGAGACTCATGAAAGGACAGTAGTGTATTATCTTAGACTGTGACTCATGAAAGGACAGTAGTGTATTATCTTAGACTGTGACTCATGAAAGGACAGTAGTGTATTATCTTAGACTGTGACTCATGAAAGGACAGTAGTGTATTATCTTAGACTGTGACTCATGAAAGGACAGTAGTGTATTATCTTAGACTGAGACTCATGAAAGGACAGTAGTGTATTATCTTAGACTGTGACTCATGAAAGGACATTTGATCCAACAGTCAACTGCCCGTAAAGTTGATGTGTTTAGGACAGGACGGCTTGTTTGCAGATGGGTCAGCTGAAAACGTCACAAAAACGATGCACATGCTTCAATGGAGCAGAAGTCTGTGTGTCATTGTGATTCCGGATGGCCAGATAGCTAGCAACAATGACAAGAAGCTGCCATGTGGGGAATCGTAGGTGGCTCGTTTCACCTCGTTTCATCTTGTTCTTGGTACCATGTCTTGTTTTGAGGTGTTTTGACTGATGTCACTGCTAATATAGCAAAGATTTGCTAGCTAGCTAACCAATATCTGTAACGATGGATTTGATAGATAACAAATACTCATTGTGCACATTTATTTATGTTTTCAATAAACATTGGAGACTAAATATAGTTTACATGTTGTCAACAGTCTAAGCCAACCCCGTCTGTTCTGCACCATAGTTGCACACGTGCCCAACCTGTCTAGGTATTGACGTCATCTGTCTGCTTACGGAGGGACATTCCTGGTGACACCTCCCCTCAGCTCTACCGTTCCCATAGCAGCTCCCACTCCCTCTCGGGTCATACAATGTTGGCAGTTATTTGCTAAGAGAGAAGAGAAAGTGAGAGAGGGTGGGGGAGAGAGGGTAGAGAGAGAGAGAGAGGAGAGAGAGAGAGAGAGAGAGAGAGAGAGAGAGAGAGAGAGAGAGAGAGAGTTCAAATTCAAGCTGCTTTATTGGCATGAAAAACATTGTGTCAATATTGCCAAAGCAACAATGTATACAATAATAAAATTATAAACAATAACAAATAATAATATAAAATGGTAGTAAATAATAATCAAAATTAAATGCAAAAATAATAACAATACAATGGTAACAGTCAATAGTAGAAATGTAATAAATATACAAATCTAAATATGGAAAATGAAACTATAACTAACTTACAGTGGGGAAAAAAAGTATTTAGTCAGCCACCAATTGTGCAAGTTCTCCCACTTAAAAAGATGAGAGAGGCCTGTAATTTTCATCATAGGTACACGTCAACTATGACAGACAAATTGAGAAAAAAAAATCCAGAAAATCCCATTGTAGGATTTTTTATGAATTTATTTGCAAATTATGGTGGAAAATAAGTATTTGGTCACCTACAAACAAGCAAGATTTCTGGCTCTCACAGACCTGTAACTTCTTCTTTAAGAGGCTCCTCTGTCCTCCACTCGTTACCTGTATTAATGGCACCTGTTTGAACTTGTTATCAGTATAAAAGACACCTGTCCACAACCTCAAACAGTCACACTCCAAACTCCACAATGGCCAAGACCAAAGAGCTGTCAAAGGACACCAGAAACAAAATTGTAGACCTGGACCAGGCTGGGAAGACTGAATCTGCAATAGGTAAGCAGCTTGGTTTGAAGAAATCAACTGTGGGAGCAATTATTAGGAAATGGAAGACATACAAGACCACTGATAATCTCCCTCGATCTGGGGCTCCACGCAAGATCTCACCCCGTGGGTCAAAATTATCACAAGAACGGTGAGCAAAAATCCCAGAACCACACGGGGGGACCTAGTGAATGACCTGCAGAGAGCTGGGACCAAAGTAACAAAGCCTACCATCAGTAACACACTACGCCGCCAGGGACTCAAATCCTGCAGTGCGAGACGTGTCCCCCTGCTTAAGCCAGTACATGTCCAGGCCCGTCTGAAGTTTGCTAGAGTGCATTTGGATGATCCAGAAGAGGATTGGGAGAATGTCATATGGTCAGATGAAACCAAAATATAACTTTTTGGTAAAAACTCAACTCATCGTGTTTGGAGGACAAAGAATGCTGAGTTGCATCCAAAGAACACCATACCTACTGTGAAGCATGGGGGTGGAAACATCATGCTTTGGGGCTGTTTTTCTGCAAAGGGACCAGGACGACTGATCCATGTAAAGGCAAGAATGAATGGGGCCATGTATCGTGAGATTTTGAGTGAAAACCTCCTTCCATCAGCAAGGGCATTGAAGATGAAACGTGGCTGGGTCTTTCAGCATGACAATGATCCCAAACACACCGCCCGGGCAACGAAGGAGTGGCTTCGTAAGAAACATTTCAAGGTCCTGGAGTGGCCTAGCCAGTCTCCAGATCTCAACCCCATAGAAAATCTTTAGAGGGAGTTGAAAGTCCGTGTTGCCCAGCGACAGCCCCAAAACATCACTGCTCTAGAGGAGATCTGCATGGAGGAATGGGCCAAAATACCAGCAACAGTGTGTGAAAACCTTGTGAAGACTTACAGAAATCGTTTGACCTGTGTCATTGCCAACAAAGGGTATATAACAAAGTATTGAGAAACTTTTGTTATTGACCAAATACTTATTTTCCACCATAATTTGCAAATAAATTCATTAAAAATCCTACAATGTGATTTTCTAGATTTTTTTCCCTCATTTTGTCTGTCATAGTTGACGTGTACCTATGATGAAAATTACAGGCCTCTCTCATCTTTTTAAGTGGGAGAACTTGCACAATTGGTGGCTGACTAAATACTTTTTTTCCCCACTGTATAACTAAATAACGGTCGTCTTCACCATTATATCAGTACTACAACTACCATCATCATTACTACCACTACTACCACCACCATCATTAAACTGCCATCATTACCATCACCCCTACTACCATCATCATTACTACCACTACTACCACCACCATCATTAAACGGGCCATCATTACCATTACCACCCATACCACTACTATTTGGAATGATAAACAACAATAATAATGGTAATAACAATAATAGCAATAACAATAATAATAAGTACGTTACTATTTATTATGCAGATGTTATTATTCAGTGTCCCTCAGGCTATGGCAGGCTAATACATATTTGGCTGCAAGAGGAGCCATTGCTCCTTCGCCCATGAGTATTTTTAGTTTTTCCTCTGGGTTTAATAAATTAAAATTTGGAATAAATCTAGTCATTTCTGTGAATAATGAATCTCTTTGTAAGGAATATTTATCACAGTAAAGGAGAAAGTGCATCTCTGTTTCTACCTCCCCTGTCGTGCAGTGACCACATATACGCTCCTCTTTGGGTAGCCATGTCTTTTTATGTCTGCCGGTTTCTACTGCCAATTGATGGTCACTCAGCCTGTACTTGGTAAGGATCTGTCTCTGCTTCGTATCTCTGACAGAGTAGAGATAATCCGCCAATTCATATTCTCTGTTTAGGGCCAGATAGCAATTTAGTCGGCTTTGGGATTTTGTTTCGTTTTTCCAATGTTGTAAATATGAGTCCTTTGATTGGTTCATGATTTTGTTCATTGGAATTCTTTATTTTGAAGCAGTGCTGGTGTCAGCTTGGTTGGTTAGGTCCAACACCAGCTGACTGAGAGGGCTCGTTTCTGGGCTCAGCTCTTGGGTTTGAAGTGCTTTAAATTGCAGACTTGAATTTGGACTTGAATTTAGATGTAGCCAAAATGTTAATGATCTTTTCTGCATTTTCATTACTACTGGAAAGCGGCCCAATTCTGCCCTACATGCATTAGTTGGTGTATTTCTCTGGACTTGTATAACTTTCCGACAGAATTCTGCATGTAGGGCTTCAATTGGATGTTTGTCCCACATTTTAAAGTCCAGTTTATTGAGTGGCCCCCAAACCTCACTTCCGTAAAGAGCTATTGGTAGGATTACACTGTCAAATATTTTGGTCCAAATTCTAATTGGGATGTTGATTTTGAATAATTTCATTTCTATTGCATACAATGGTCTGCGAGCTTTTTCTTTGAGTGCATTCACTCACATATTAAAGTTTCCCGATGCAGATATGGTCAGACCAAGGTATGTGTAATTTTTAGTGTGTTCAATTATGGTGTTGTTCAGGGTGAATTTATATTTGTGTTTCTGACATCTGTTTTTTTTCTCTCCCTCTCTCTCTCGCTCTCTCTCCCTCTCCCTCTCCCTCTCCCTCTCCCTCTCTCTCCTCTCTCTCTTCTCTCTCTCTCTGTACCTCTCTCCTCATCTCTCTCTCTCTCCTCTCTGTCTCTCTCTGTCCTCTCTCTGCCTCTCTCTCTCTCTCTCTCTCTCTCTCTCTCTCTCTCTCTCCTCTCTCTCTCTCTCTCTCTCTCTCTCTCTCATCCTCCCCCTCTCCTCTCTCTCTCTCTCTCTCTCGTCTCCACAGTGCGTCCACTACAGACCTGTCGGGCTACGACCCAGGTTACCTGAGGAAGAGTCCAGACCAGTACAGTTCTAGAGGAAGTATGGAGAGCCTCGGGGAGCAACACAGCCACCCAACCTACAGGTGCAGCTCTTTTTAACATGAGGTTTTTGTTATGTTTTTATTATGCGTTATTGTTCCTTGTCTTGTCTTTGTAATCATAATTTCCAGAGAGGACAACAATGTAGCCTTCAGGTTTATTGTGTTTTTACCCTAGATAATATGTTATGCTGTCTCCGGCTGGAGCAGCCTACTACTGTTAATTATCTAATAAATTCAATCAATCAAGTAAGGATCAATAAAGTACTTCTGTACTCTACAGTTCTTCCTGCCACCAGCTGTCTGCCTCCAAGTCCTCCAACAGCATGGACCACCTTCACAATAAGAGGGACTCAGCCTACTCCTCCTTCTCCACCAGCTCTAGTATCCCAGAGTACCTAGCGGCCGCTCCGACCTTTGGTAAGGAGAGGTCGTATTCCATGGAGACGGTTCCGCAGAGGGGCGGGGTTAGTGGAGGAGGCGGGGCCGGGGCGGAGGGAATGCAGCAAGCTGACATCCGATATGTCCGTACGGTCTACGACCCCCAGCAGGGCGGGGCCCAGGAGCACGAGGTCAGCTCCACCTCTGCTGCGTTGCTACGCAACCACGAGGCTGGCAGGGCGGGGTCTTGTAGTGGGGGCGGAGCCGCCTGTTACCGCGGCACCAGTAGCAGTAGTAACAGCAGTGGCGGAAGCAGCGGTGGTGGTAACCATGGTATTAACCCCAACCGTCACAGTGTTGGGCCCATCTGGGGTCAGAGCGCCAGCCGCAGTTCCTACGAGAGCCTGAAGGGGGTGCCGGCTCCTCCCATGCGGAGCGATAGCTACGCGGCCATCAGGAACCATGAGAGGCCCAACTCCTGGTCCAGCCTGGAGCAGACTCGCTCACTCAGGGCTCTCCACAAGGGGTCCACCTCCTCCTGGTACCACTCCTCTGGCTCCGTGGCCTCCGGCTCGGGAAAGGGCTCCTACGGGGCCGAGGGCCAGCTCCACACTGTCATAGAGAAGAGTCCTGAGAGCAGGTATTAAGTCTATTCTATTGTATCCAATTAGCGAACCCATGGACATCATGAGTTGTGTTTGTTTCACCAGACATCGGTCATCAGTGCTCCGTCTATGTGGCTCTAATGTAGGCATGTGTATGTTGTTGTCTTCCTCTTCTTCTAGCCCCACCACCAAGCCCAAACAGGGCTTCCCACCGCCCCCCGAACCCCAGCAAACATCCACCCAGTCTGGCCGCCTCATGCTGCCCCAGGGCATCTACCCCGTGCCCCCTCCGGAACCCCACTATGCCCAGATGCCCACCAGCAGCCCCAGCCCCAGCAACGTGTACCCAGCCCTGGCCAGGGAGAGCAGCCTGAGCAGGCAGCGAGAGCTCCAGGGGTTAGGGGTGGGGGTCAGTGTGGATACAGGGATGGCGGTAGTGGTGGAGAATGGATACCAAAGCAACCCTTCTTCCTCCTCCTATGTCACTTCCTCTGGCCAGCCTCAGCATCATGACTTTGCTCAGCCTCCACCCAAACAGCCAGCTCATCCAACCCAACCCGCAGACAGAGGGGGGGACAGGTCAGGGTACGAGGAGACCCAAACCAAACTGGGTCTCTACAGGTCTCTGCCTTTGGGACACGGCCAGACCGTGTCCCAAAGGCAGAGCCAGCGGAGTCAAGGACAGGGACAGGGACAGGGACAGGGTCAGAGCCATGGTCAGGGTCAGGGTCAGGAACAGGGTCAGAGCCAGGGTCAGGGACAGGGTCAGAGCCAGGGTCAGGGACAGGGTCAGAGCCAGGGTCAGGGACAGGGTCAGAGCCAGGGTCAGGGTCAGGGTCAGGAACAGGGTCAGAGCCAGGGTCAGGGACAGGGTCAGGAACAGGGTCAGAGCCAGGGTCAGGAACAGGGTCAGAGCCAGGGTCAGGGACAGGGTCAGAGCCAGGGTCAGGGACAGGGTCAGAGCCAGGGTCAGGCGAACAGACCCTCCTCAGCCCAGTCTCTAGGCCAGGAGAGGCGGGATCCATACACTCCAGTCCAGCCGCGGGGAGAGAGGCTACCCAGGTACTCCCTGGGCTCAGAGAGATACCCTGAGCACCACCGACAGGGCCAGGGCAGAGAGGAGGAGCCCAGTCACCACACCAGTCACCCAGTACCTCCTCATGCCACCACCATGCCCAGTAAGATCGTCCAGGGACAGGTTCCCCAGGGGAGCAGCAGCAGTAGGACCCCAGCACAGGTGTCTGACCAGCGGTTAGAGCAGAGAGCCCAGGGGCCTGACCAGCGGTTAGAGCAGAGAGCCCAGGGGCCTGACCAGCGGTTAGAGCAGAGAGCCCAGGGGCCTGACCAGCGGTTAGAGCAGAGAGCCCAGGGGCCTGACCAGCGGTTAGAGCAGAGAGCCCAGGGGCCTGACCAGCGGTTAGAGCAGAGAGCCCAGGGGCCTGACCAGCGGTTAGAGCAGAGAGCCCAGGGGCCTGACCAGCGGTTAGAGCAGAGAGCCCAGGGGCCTGACCAGCGGGTCAACGACCAGAGATCCAGGTCCCCCCTCTGGCACTACAGTGATCCAATTCCCCCACAGCAGCAGAGGGACCAGAGGGACCAGAGGGGACCAGAGCACCCCCTGACCCGGCTGGAGAACGCCCTAGCGGATGTCCAGCGCTGTGCCAGTCCAGAGAGCTCCGCCAGCAGCCAGAGCAGGCACCAGAGGAGCCTCTCTGTTCTGGAGAAGGTGAACCGCTTCGAGCGCCGCGAACAGGGTCATGGGCAGGGACAGGTTCAGGGACAGGTTCAGGGCCATGGGCAGGGGAAGCAGAGGAGTAAAAGCACCAGCGCCAGCCACACCAGCCTGAGGCCCTCCTCCTCCCGTCCAACTCAGCCCCAGTCCCAGCCCCAGTCCCAGCCCCAGTCACAGCCCCAGCCCCAGCCCCAACCCCAGCCCCAACCCCAGCCCCAGCCCCTGCCCCAGCCCCTGCCCAAGCCCCTGCCCCAGCCCCAGCCCCAACCCCAGCCCCAACCCCAGCCCCAGCCCCTGCCCCAGCCCCTGCCCAAGCCCCTGCCCCAGCCCCAGCCCCAGCCCCAGCCCCAGCCCCAACCCCAGCCCCAGTCCCAGCCCCATGAGAGGGCCATGAGCTATGGTGCAGGAATGGATGACCTGCGTAACAGCCCCAGCAGCACACTGAGCTCCCCCTCTAGCTCACATCATGGGAAAACAACGGTGGCCCACGAGGATCATCATTACGCAGAGCAGAGGCCAGGGAGTTGGGACCAGGCCCAGTCCCAGAGCTCCAGGTACCCCCACCACCACCACCACCACCCTAACCCCCAGGACCCTCACCCTGGCTCAGCCCTGCAGAGGAGCAGGAGCACCTTCCAACTGGGGAGCAAGGAGGGCCAGGAGGAGAATGGCCATGACAGGGACAGGTAATTGTTCAAAATTGTATATAATATCTACACTGAGTGGACAAAACATAAAGAACACCTTCCTAATATTGAGTTGCACCCCCCCCCTCCCCTCCCTTTTGCCATCAGAACAGCCTCAAGGTGTCGAAAGCATTCCACAGGGATGCTGGCCCATGTTGACTCCAACGCTTCCCACAGTTGTGTCAAGTTGGCTGGATGTTCTTTGGGTGGTGGACCATTCTTAATACACATGGGAAACTGTTGAGTGTGAAAAACCCAGCAGCGTTGCAGTTCTTGACACAAACCGGTGCGCCTGGCACCTACTACCATACCCCGTTCAAAGAAACTTACAAATGTTTTCTTGTCCATTCACCCTCTGAATGGCACCCATACACAATCCATGTCTCAATTGTCTCAAGGCTTAACAATCCTTCTTTAACCTGTCTCCTCCCCTTCATCTACACTGATTGAAGTGGATTTAACCAGTGACATCAATAAGGGATCATAGCTTTCACCTTGATTCACCTGGTCAGTCTTTGTCATGGAAAGAGCAGGTGTTCCTAATGTTTTGTACACTCAGTGTATGTTGTATAGATTGTGTAAATTATGTGTATATTACATTGTCTGTATTCTGTTTATTGTTGTCACCAACATTTCACCAGGTCAAATTCCTGGTACATGTTAATGTCGTGGTGAATAAAGGGGATTCTCATTCTGATTTTGACAGGGATGGGGACAGACAGTTCCATTGGAGGGATGGCCTGCAGGACCTACTGGGGACCATCCAGGACACGTCCTTTAACCGGGCCTACAGGAACAGTATCAAGGACGCCCAGTCCAAGGTGCTCCGATCCACCTCCTTCAGACGCAGGGGCCTGGGAATCAGCGCCAGCGGTAGTGTCAACCCCCCTCCTGGTGTCAACGACTCCTCTCCCGTCCCCGCCAAGCACTTCTCTCTGGAGAAGAAGGCCCCCAAGACCAGCCCCAAACCCTCCACTACCGCCCCAGCCTCCGCCCCAGCCACCTCCACTCACAACCCCAAAGAAAGGCTCACGATCACCGTCCCAGACCCAGACCCAGACCCAGCCACCTTTCCCTCTCCTCACACCCCCAAAGAAAGGCACGTTGTCACCCCGGAGCCCGAGAGGTTCAGTCCCCCAGAGCTCCCCAGCGTCCTGGCCGTGGGCCCACCAGTCCCGGCCCGTATCGGGGGGCGTAAGAGGCTCACCATGGAGCAGAAGAAGAGGTCCTACTCCGAGCCTGAGAACATGCACGAGGTGAGTCAAAGTATCCAGGATGCCATCTCCTGCTGTTTTGCCCTTAAGCAAGGCACTTAAAAGGTAGACTCAGTGAGATGACGTTGCAACGAACAGCACCGCAGATATTGAGATGAGCGCGATACAAGACTTCGCTCTTACGCTGCTACAACGTGGTAGCTACGGGACCAAAACAGCGGAGAAGTTTAGCCTCAGGCTTCAACACTCTGAGTTGTTGTTGTTGTTGCGGAAATTCACCCACTATGTGTTGACGTGCACTCCATTCAGGGTGCACTGCACTGCGGCTGACCCTGTGCCTCCAAACCCTTGGGTGTGTGTGTCTCAGGGGGTTGGGTTAGAAAGCAAGAGACACATTTCTGTTTTCTGCAAGGTAATGGACAATAAAGGTTTCCTGTTCTTCTTGTTCTTCTTGTTCTTGTTCTTCTAGGTGGGGTTGGAGTCTGACCCAAGGAGTAGTGCCCAGCACCAAGAGTTCCCGTTCCCAGGCACAGAGACCAGCGTGGCGGACCGCAGGAGGATGTTTGAGATGGCAGCCAGTCGCAGCCTGAGCTCCAGCTCCCAGACTCCCCAGGGCCTCCAGAGCTCCCAGACTCCCCAGGGCCTCCAGATCTCCCAGGCAAGTCTAGCCGTGTCCCGGCCAGAGCTCCGGCAGCTGCAGCAGGACGCCCTGGCCGACTACATGGAGAGGAAGAGAGGCTGGAGGACAGACAGGGACAGGGACAGGTCAGAGGGAGGGAGAGTCCACCGTGACCGGCCTCACAGCGTCTACCTGCAGCCCTTTACAGACACCCGGAGTGTTTCCTCAACCTCCACCACCAGTCTAGCCTCTCTCCAGGAGCCCCTTGGCCAAGACAGCAGCCTCTCTGGTGGGGGAAGGCTCTGCTCCACCCTGCCTCCTGGCCTCCGGGGATTCTATCCAGGCAGGGTCACTGCACCACGCGTCCAGGCCAAGGCCCCTGCCTCTATCTCCACCACCCACCCAGACACCTCGGGATTCCACAGGCTAGTGGAGGGAGAGCTGCCCAGATCCAGCCTTGGTAGAGAAGACCCATCCCAGGCCACAGCCCAGGCCTATGAGGCTCTCCGGAGCCAGGAGTTTTTCGTGCGAGGCGATGGAGCCTTTGAGAGGGCTGCTCCAGCCCGGAGCTCTTGCAAGTCGGTCTCTGCGGAGGACCTGCTGGAGCGCTCTGAGAGTCCTGCACCCCAGCACTTCAGATCCCGCTCCTCACCCTCTGGCGAGAGGCTCAATCAGGTAGAGTGCACTACGCTCTCTGTTTTACACTTTGTAGACTTCTTTACTGATCTAGTACAAGACAAAACAAAGGTACACCATTTATTTTGTGTGTGAATGCAGCTGTAGCATCAACTGTAAGTGGTGCTCGTCTTAGGTTAGCTCATTTTAGGTCTTACATTTACATTTTAGTCATTTAGCAGACGCTCTTATCCAGAGCGACTTACAGTTAGTGAGTGCATACATTTTCATACTGGCCCCCCATGGGAAACGAACCCACAACCCTGGCGTTGCAAGTGCCATGCTCTACCAACTGAGCTACAGGGGACGTCTTAGGTCTTAGGTTAGCTCATCTTAGGTCTTAGGTCTTAAGTTAGCTCATCTTAGGTCTTAGGTTAGCTCATCTTAGGTCTTAGATCTTAGGTTAGCTCATCTTAGGTCTTAGGTTAGCTCATCTTAGGTCTTAGGTCTTAGGTTAGCTCATCTTAGGTCTTAGGTCTTAGGTTAGCTCATCTTAGGTCTTAGGTCTTAGGTTAGCTCATCTTAGGTCTTAGGTCTTAGGTTAGCTCATCTTAGGTCTTTTATGGTCTAGGTCTTAGGTTAGCTCATCTTAGGTCTTAGGTCTTAGGTTAGCTCATCTTAGGTCTTAGGTCTTAGGTTAGCTCATCTTAGGTCTTAGGTCTTAGGTCAGCTCATCTTAGGTCTTAGGTCTTAGGTTAGCTCATCTTAGGTCTTAGGTCTTAGGTTAGCTCATCTTAGGTCTTAGGTCTAGGTAGCTCATCTTAGGTCTAGGTCTTAGGTTAGCTATCTTAGGTTTAGGTCTTGGTTAGCTCATCTTAGGTCTTAGGTCTTAGGTTAGCTCATCTTAGGTCTTAGGTCTTAGGTTAGCTCATCTTAGGTCTTAGGTGTCTAGGTTAGCTCATCTTAGGTCTTAGGTTAGTTAGCTAATCTTAGGTCTTAGGTTAGCTCATCTAGGCTTAGGTCTTAGGTTAGCTCATCTTAGGTTGTCTTAGGTTAGCTCATCTTAGGTCTTAGGTCTTAGGTTAGCTCATCTTAGGTCTTAGGTCTTAGGTTAGCTCATCTAGTCTAGGCTTAGGTAGCTTATCTTGGTCTTAGGTCTTAGGTTAGCTCATCTTAGTCTTAGATCTTAGGTTAGCTCATCTTAGGTCTTAGGTCTTAGGTTAGCTCATCTTAGGTCTTAGATCTTAGGTTAGCTCATCTTAGGGTCTTAGATCTTAAAGGTTAGCTCATCTTAGGTCTTAGATCTTAGGTTAGCTCATCTTAGGTCTTAGGTCTTAGGTTAGCCACTCATCTTAGGTCTTAGGTCTTAGGTTAGCTCATCTTAGGTCTTAGATCTTAGGTTAGCTCATCTTAGGTCTTAGGTCTTAGGTTAGCTCATCTTAGGTCTTAGATCTTAGGTTAGCTCATCTTAGGTCTTAGATCTTAGGTTAGCTCATCTTAGGTCTTAGATCTTAGGTTAGCTCATCTTAGGTCTTAGGTCTTAGGTTAGCTCATCTTAGGTGTTAGGTTAGCTCATCTTAGGTCTTAGGTTAGCTCATCTTAGGTCTTAGGTCTTAGGTTAGCTCATCTTAGGTCTTAGATCTTAGGTTAGCTCATCTTAGGTCTTATGTCTTAGGTTAGCTCATCTTAGGTCTTAGATCTTAGGTTAGCTCATCTTAGGTCTTAGGTCTTAGGTTAGCTCATCTTAGGTCTTAGATCTTAGGTTAGCTCATCTTAGGTCTTAGATCTTAGGTTAGCTCATCTTAGGTCTTAGGTCTTAGGTTAGCTCATCTTAGGTCTTAGGTCTTAGGTTAGCTCATCTTAGGTCTTAGGTCTTAGGTTAGCTCATCTTAGGTCTTAGGTCTTAGGTTAGCTCATCTTAGGTCTTAGATCTTAGGTTAGCTCATCTTAGGTCTTAGGTCTTAGGTTAGCTCATCTTAGGTCTTAGGTCTTAGGTTAGCTCATCTTAGGTCTTAGGTCTTAGGTTAGCTCATCTTAGGTCTTAGGTCTTAGGTTAGCTCATCTTAGGTCTTAGGTTAGCTCATCTTAGGTCTTAGATCTTAGGTTAGCTCATCTTAGGTCTTAGGTCTTAGGTTAGCTCATCTTAGGTCTTAGGTCTTAGGCTAGCTCATCTTAGGTCTTAGGTTAGCTCATCTTAGCTCTTAGGTCTTAGGTTAGCTCATCTTAGGTCTTAGGTCTTAGGTTAGCTCATCTTAGGTCTTAGGTTAGCTCATCTTAGGTCTTAGGTCTTAGGTTAGCTCATCTTAGGTCTTAGGTCTTAGGTTAGCTCATCTTAGGTCTTAGGTCTTAGGTTAGCTCATCTTAGGTCTTAGGTTAGCTCATCTTAGGTCTTAGGTTAGCTCATCTTCGGTCTTAGATCTTAGGTTAGCTCATCTTAGGTCTTATGTCTTAGGTTAGCTCATCTTAGGTCTTAGATCTTAGGTTAGCTCATCTTAGGTCTTAGGTCTTAGGTTAGCTCATCTTAGGTCTTAGATCTTAGGTTAGCTCATCTTAGGTCTTAGATCTTAGGTTATCTCATCTTAGGTCTTAGATCTTAGGTTAGCTCATCTTAGGTCTTAGGTTAGCTCATCTTAGGTCTTAGGTCTTAGGTTAGCTCATCTTAGGTCTTAGGTTAGCTCATCTTAGGTCTTAGGTCTTAGGTTAGATCACCTTAGGTCTTAGATCTTAGGTTAGCTCATCTTAGGTCTTATGTCTTAGGTTAGCTCATCTTAGGTCTTAGATCTTAGGTTAGCTCATCTTAGGTCTTAGGTCTTAGGTTAGCTCATCTTAGGTCTTAGATCTTAGGTTAGCTCATCTTAGGTCTTAGATCTTAGGTTAGCTCATCTTAGGTCTTAGGTCTTAGGTTAGCTCATCTTAGGTCTTAGGTCTTAGGTTAGCTCATCTTAGGTCTTAGGTCTTAGGTTAGCTCATCTTAGGTCTTAGGTCTTAGGTTAGCTCATCTTAGGTCTTAGATCTTAGGTTAGCTCATCTTAGCTTGGTGGTTCCAGCTAAAGCAGCTGATGCCTTCCTGCTGTGTGACCTGACTGACTGTGTCTGAGCTGGGGTTGGTGTCTGAGCTGGGGTTGGTGTCTGAGCTGGGGTTGGTGTCTGAGCTGGGGTTGGTGTCTGAGCTGGGGTTGGTGTCTGAGCTGGGGTTGGTGTCTGAGCTGGCCTGGCTGGGAGCAGGCACATAAACCAAGGGCTGGATGATGAGTGTCCCAGGGGCAGGAGAGGTCACAGAGGTCAGGAGAGGTCACAGGGGTCAGGAGAGGTCAGGAGGGGTCACACAGCTGGCTTCTAAACCTCTGCTCTTCCTCCTCCTGACAGGGCCTTGACGAGAGCTGGCACATAAACCAACCTAGAAAGCTAACAGCTAAAATATACTGTCTACGATAGTTGAGGATTCCGCTGCGAAGTCAGTTTCTGTGGGATGTTAAACAAGGATGCCGTTTATCACCGTATGGATTTCTTATACCCACTACTGTACATAACCCTAACCCTGACCCACTACTGTACATAACCCTAACCCTAACCCACTACTGTACATAACCCTAACCCTGACCCACTACTGTACATAACCCTAACCCTAACCCACTACTGTACATAACCCTAACCCTGAGGGGTGACAGGACGGGTCTATATAGGGACCTAACCCTGAGGGGTGACAGGGCGGGTCTATATAGTGACCTAACCCTGAGGGGTGACAGGGCGGGTCTATATAGTGACCTAACCCTGAGGGGTGACAGGACGGGTCTATGTAGTGACCTAACCCTGAGGGGTGACAGGGCGGGTCTATATAGGGACCTAACCCTGAGGGGTGACAGGGCGGGTCTATATAGTGACCTAACTCTGAGGGGTGACAGGGCGGGTCTATATAGTGACCTAACCCTGAGGGGTGACAGGGCGGGTCTATATAGTGACCTAACCCTGAGGGGTGACAGGGCGGGTCTATATAGTGACCTAACCCTGAGGGGTGACAGGGCGGGTCTATATAGTGACCTAACCCTGAGGGGTGACAGGGCGGGTCTATGTAGTGACCTAACCCTGAGGGGTGACAGGGCGGGTCTATATAGTGACCTAACCCTGAGGGGTGACAGGGCGGGTCTATATAGGGACCTAACCCTGAGGGGTGACAGGGCGGGTCTATATAGGGACCTAACCCTGAGGGGTGACAGGGCGGGTCTATATAGTGACCTAACTCTGAGGGGTGACGGGGCTGGTCTATATAGTGACCTAACCCTGAGGGGTGACAGGGCGGGTCTATATAGTGACCTAACCCTGAGGGGTGACAGGACGGGTCTATGTAGTGACCTAACCCTGAGGGGTGACAGGGCGGGTCTATATAGGGACCTAACCCTGAGGGGTGACAGGGCGGGTCTATATAGGGACCTAACCCTGAGGGGTGACAGGGCGGGTCTATATAGTGACCTAACCTAACCCTGAGGGGTGACAGGGCGGGTCTATATAGGGACCTAACCCTGAGGGGTGACAGGGCGGGTCTATATAGTGACCTAACCTAACCCTGAGGGGTGACAGGGCGGGTCTATATAGGGACCTAACCCTGAGGGGTGACAGGGCGGGTCTATATAGTGACCTAACTCTGAGGGGTGACAGGGCGGGTCTATATAGTGACCTAACCCTGAGGGGTGACAGGGCGGGTCTATATAGTGACCTAACCCTGAGGGGTGACAGGACGGGTCTATGTAGTGACCTAACCCTGAGGGGTGACAGGGCGGGTCTATATAGGGACCTAACCCTGAGGGGTGACAGGGCGGGTCTATATAGGGACCTAACCCTGAGGGGTGACAGGGCGGGTCTATATAGTGACCTAACCCTGAGGGGTGACAGGACGGGTCTATGTAGTGACCTAACCCTGAGGGGTGACAGGGCGGGTCTATATAGGGACCTAACCCTGAGGGGTGACAGGGCGGGTCTATATAGGGACCTAACCCTGAGGGGTGACAGGGCGGGTCTATATAGTGACCTAACCCTGAGGGGTGACAGGGCGGGTCTATATAGTGACCTAACCCTGAGGGGTGACAGGGCGGGTCTATATAGTGACCTAACCCTGAGGGGTGACAGGGCGGGTCTATATAGTGACCTAACCCTGAGGGGTGACAGGGCGGGTCTATATAGGGACCTAACCCTGAGGGGTGACAGGGCGGGTCTATATAGGGACCTAACCCTGAGGGGTGACAGGGCGGGTCTATATAGTGACCTAACCCTGAGGGGTGACAGGGCGGGTCTATATAGGGACCTAACCCTGAGGGGTGACAGGGCGGGTCTATATAGTGACCTAACTCTGAGGGGTGACAGGGCGGGTCTATATAGTGACCTAACCCTGAGGGGTGACAGGGCGGGTCTATATAGTGACCTAACCCTGAGGGGTGACAGGACGGGTCTATGTAGTGACCTAACCCTGAGGGGTGACAGGGCGGGTCTATATAGGGACCTAACCCTGAGGGGTGACAGGGCGGGTCTATATAGTGACCTAACCCTGAGGGTGACAGGGCGGGTCTATATAGGGACCTAACCCTGAGGGGTGACAGGGCGGGTCTATATAGGGACCTAACCCTGAGGGGTGACAGGGCGGGTCTATATAGTGACCTAACCCTGAGGGTGACAGGGCGGGTCTATATAGGGACCTAACCCTGAGGGGTGACAGGGCGGGTCTATATAGTGACCTAACCCTGAGGGGTGACAGGGCGGGTCTATATAGTGACCTAACCCTGAGGGGTGACAGGGCGGGTCTATATAGTGACCTAACCCTGAGGGGTGACAGGGCGGGTCTATATAGTGACCTAACCCTGAGGGGTGACAGGGCGGGTCTACATAGTGACCTAACCCTGAGGGGTGACAGGGCGGGTCTATATAGTGACCTAACCCTGAGGGGTGACAGGGCGGGTCTATATAGTGACCTAACTCCCCTCGCCCCTCGCCCCTCGCCCCTCGCCCCTCGCCCCTCTCCCCCTCGCCCCTCTCCCCTCGCCCCTTGCCCCTCGCCCCTCTCCCCTCGCCCCTCGCCCCTCGCCCCGGCCTGGCCAGCAGCTCCACAGACAGGAAATACCCCAGATCCTCTGACTTCCTGTGTGGTGCCACTGGTCCAGGGCTGGCAGAACACTGACTGATCACAGACTGATAAGACAAACACACACACACACACACACAAACACTCACACACACACACATAAACACTCACACACACACAGCAGTGGGCCAGGGAGGAGCAAGCTATAGATACAGTTGAAGTCGTAAGTTTACATACATTTAGGTTGGAGTCATTAAAACTTGTTTTTCAACCACTCCACAAATTTCTTTTTAACAAACTATAGTTTTGGCAAGTTGGTTAGGACATCTACTTTGTGCAGGACACAAGTAATTTTTCCAACAATTGTTTACAGACAGATTATTTCACTTAGAACTCACTGTATCACAATTCCAGTGGGTCAGAAGTTTACATACACTAAGTTGACTGTGCCTTTAAACAGCTTGGAAAATTCCAGAAAATGATGCTATGGCTTTAGAAGCTTCTGATAGGCTAATTGACATAATTTTAGGCCTACCTTCAAACTCAGTGCCTCTTTGCTTGACATCATGGGAAAATCAAAAGAAATCAGCCAAGACCTCAGAAAAAAAATTGTAGACCTCCACGTCTGGTTTATCCTTGGGAGCAATTTCCAAACGCCTGAAGGTACCACGTTCATCGGTACAAACAATAGTACGCAAGTATAAACACCATGGGACAGCGCAGTCCAAATCAATCAAGTCAAAATGATCGGAGGAAGTTCAGGAGTAAAAACAAACAAAATATAATGATTGACTGTGTCCATAAAATGTATATACAGTGGGGAAAAAAAGTATTTAGTCAGCCACCAATTGTGCAAGTTCTCCCACTTAAAAAGATGAGAGAGGCCTGTAATTTTCATCATAGGTACACGTCAACTATGACAGACAAAATGAGAAAAAAAATTCCAGAAAATCACATTGTAGGATTTTTAATGAATTTATTGGCATATGATGGTGGAAAATAAGTATTTGGTCAATAACAAAAGTTTCTCAATACTTTGTTATATACCCTTTGTTGACAATGACACAGGTCAAACGTTTTCTGTAAGTCTTCACAAGGTTTTCACACACTGTTGCTGGTATTTTGGCCCATTCCTCCATGCAGATCTCCTCTAGAACAGTGATGTTTTGGGGCTGTCGCTGGGCAACACAGACTTTCAACTCCCTCCAAAGATTTTCTATGGGGTTGAGATCTGGAGACTGGCTAGGCCACTCCAGGACCGTGAAATGCTTCTTACGAAGCCACTCCTTCGTTGCCCGGGCGGTGTGTTTGGGATCATTGTCATGCTGAAAGACCCAGCCACGTTTCATCTTCAATGCCCTTGCTGATGGAAGGAGGGTTTCACTAAAAATCTCACGATACATGGCCCCATTCATTCTTTCCTTTACACGGATCAGTCGTCCTGGTCCCTTTGCAGAAAAACAGCCCCAAAGCATGATGTTTCCAACCCCATGCTTCACAGTAGGTATGGTGTTCTTTGGATGCAACTCAGCATTCTTTGTCCTCCAAACATGACGAGTTGAGTTTTTACCAAAAAGTTATATTTTGGTTTCATCTGACCATATGACATTCTCCCATTCCTCTTCTGGATCATCCAAATGCACTTCAGACGGGCCTGGACATGTACTGGCTTAAGCAGGGGGACACGTCTCGCACTGCAGGATTTGAGTCCCTGGCGGCGTAGTGTGTTACTGATGGTTGGCTTTGTTACTTTGGTCCCAGCTCTCTGCAGGTCATTCACTAGGTCCCCCCGTGTGGTTCTGGGATTTTTGCTCACCGTTCTTGTGATCATTTTGACCCCATGGGGTGAGATCTTGCGTGGAGCCCCAGATCGAGGGAGATTATCAGGGGTCTTGTATGTCTTCCATTTCCTAATAATTGCTCCCACAGTTGATTTCTTCAAACCAAGCTGCTTACCTATTGCAGATTCAGTCTTCCCAGCCTGGTGCAGGTCTACAATTTTGTTTTTGGTGTCCTTTGACAGCTCTTTGGTCTTGGCCATTGTGAAGTTTGGAGTGTGACTGTTTGAGGTTGTGGACAGGTGTATTTTATACTGATAACAATTTCAAACAGGTGCCATTAATACAGGTAACGAGTGGAGGACAGAGGAGCCTCTTAAAGAAGAAGTTACAGGTCTGTGAGAGCCAGAAATCTTGCTTGTTTATAGGTGACCAAATACTTATTTTCCACCATAATTTGCAAATAAATTCATTAAAAATCCTACAATGGGATTTTCTGGATTTTTTTTCCTCAATTTGTCTGTCATAGTTGACGTGTACCTATGATGAAAATTACAGGCCTCTCTCATCTTTTTAAGTGGGAGAACTTGCACAATTGGTGGCTGACTAAATACTTTTTTTCCCCACTGTAGTATGTATAAACTGGAAGTAGAGGCCTAAGCGTTGTTGTTCACTAGTTTACTCAAATTAGGAAAGGGATGGTGGGGTTGGAAAGTAATAAAGGGAAATATATATTTTTTTAAAGGATACGTATGTATATATATATGTATGTATATGCGTATATGTATGTATGTGTATGTATGTGATCTACACCCTAAAAAAATAAAAAAATAAAAAAAATAAACACCATGGGACCACGCAGCTGTCATACCGCTCAGGAAGGAGACGCGTTCTGTCTCCTAGAGATGAACGTACCTTGTGTCACGATCGTCTTCCAAAGGAGTAGACCAATACGCAGCGTGTTGAGCGAACATGATTGACTTTATTATATTAAAGTGCAAAAACCAAAACAATAGACGATTCGTGAAGTCCACAGTAACAATGACCGTAAAGGAACAAAAACCCACAAACACAAAGTGAAACCCAGACAGTTAAATATGGCTCCCAATCAGAGACAACCAGCACACAGCTGACACTCGTTGCCTCTGATTGGGAGTCATTCATTCAAACATAGAAATGAACCCAACAGAAATACCAACATAGAAATACACCCAATGAATGAACACACCCTGGCTCAACATACAGAGTCCCGGAGCCAGAGCGTGACAGTACCCCCCCCCTAAAGGCGCGGACTGCGACCGCGCCTCAATAAGGGCTAAATAAGGGAGGGCTGGGCGGGCATACCTCCTCGGCGGCGGTTCTGGCCCCGGCCTTGCCCACCACCCTCCAAACAACCCCCCATAGCGCCCCTGGTCCGGTCTGACCCCGCTGGCTGGATCTGGACTGGACATTGACGGAGCGGATTGCTTACGCTCCGTTGTGGAGCAGCTGACCGGTCTTACCAGGCTGACGACTCGCACCCCGGGCTTGGTGCGAGTAGCAGGAACGGGCTGAACCAGGCTGACGACTCGCAACCCTGGCTTGGTGCGAGTGGCAGGAACGGGCTGGACCAGGCTGACGACTCGCACCCCTGGCCTGGTGCGAGTGGCAGGAACGGGCTGGACCAGGCTGACGACGCACGCCGTAGGCTTGGTGCGTGGAGCAGGGACAGGCCGGACAGGGCTGGCGACGCACACCGTAGACTTGGTGCGTGGAGCAGGAACAGGCCGGGCAGGGCTGTCGACGCACACCGTAGGTTTGGTGCGTGGAGCAGGAACAGGCCGGGCAGGGCTGTCGACGCACACCGTAGACTTGGTGCGTGGAGCAGGAACAGGCCGGGCAGGGCTGTCGACGCACACCGTAGGTTTGGTGCGTGGAGCAGGAACAGGCCGGGCAGGGCTGTCGACGCACACCGTAGGTTTGGTGCGTGGAGCAGGAACAGGCCGGGCAGGGCTGTCGACGCACACCGTAGGTTTGGTGCGTGGAGCAGGAACAGGCCGGGCAGGACTGGCGACGCACACCGTAGGCTTGGTGCGAGAGGCAGGAACAGGCCAGACCGGGCTGGAGACGCGCACCGTCCATTTGGTGCGAGGGGCCGTAACAGGCCGGACCGTACTGGGGACACACACCACTGGCTCTACTCCGGGAACTGGAACGGGCCGGACCGGACTGGTAACACACCCCAGTACCTCTCGCCGTGCCTCTAAACCTCCTTTCCCTACTTTGACCAGTGGCCCCCGTAACCTGGTGGCCTTTTGAATACGCCCCTTCTCTGCCTCCGTCAGCCCCGTCGTCCATGCCCTGTGCCCCCCCCTAAAAAATTATTGGGGGTGCCTCTCGTCCGTCCGACGATGGCACTGCTGACGCCGCTGCTCCTCTCTCGCCAGGGCCTTGATCCTACCCCAAGGTCCCTTGCCCCCGAGCATGTCCTCCCAGGACCACACTTTGCCCACCTGGGCCATCGCCAGCCTCTCCATCTCCTTTCCCGGCGCTTCCTCCCATGTCCAGTCTGCCTGCTCCTGGACACGCTGCTTGGTCGTTGTATGGTGGGTTTTTCTGTCACGATCGTCTTCCAAAGGAGTAGACCAATACGCAGCGTGTTGAGCGAACATGATTGACTTTATTATATTAAAGTGCAAAAACCAAAACAATAGACGATTCGTGAAGTCCACAGTAACAATGACCGTAAAGGAACAAAAACCCACAAACACAAAGTGAAACCCAGACAGTTAAATATGGCTCCCAATCAGAGACAACCAGCACACAGCTGACACTCGTTGCCTCTGATTGGGAGTCATTCATTCAAACATAGAAATGAACCCAACAGAAATACCAACATAGAAATACACCCAATGAATGAACACACCCTGGCTCAACATACAGAGTCCCGGAGCCAGAGCGTGACACCTTGGTGCGAAAAGTGCAAATTAATCCCAGAACAACAGCAAAGGACCTTGTGAAGATGCTGGAGGAAACAGGTACAAAAGTATCTATATCCACAGTAAAACGAGTCCTATATCGACATAACCTGAAAGGCTGCTCAGCAAGGAAGAAGCCACTGCTCCAAAACCGCAATAAAAAAGCCAGACAACGGTTTGCAACTGCACATGGGGACAAAGATCGTACTTTTTGGAGAAATGTCCGCTGGTCTGATGAAACAAAAATAGAACTATTTGGCCAAAATGACCATCGTTATGTTTGGAGGAAAAAGGGGGTAGCTTGCAAGCAGAAGAACAGCATCCCGACCGTGAAGCACAGGGGTGGCAGCATCATGCTGTGGGGGTGCTTTGCTGCAGGAGGGACTGGTGTACTTCACAAAATAGATGGCATCATGAGGAAGGAAAATTATGTGGATCAATTGAAGCAACATCTCAAGACATCAGTCAGGAAGTTAAAGCTTGGTCACAAATGGGTCTTCCAAATGAACAATGACCCCAAGCATACTTCCAAAGTTGTGGCAAAATGACCGTACACTTGAAAGTACTGCTTCTCACAGAACCCATACCAGTCAGGACACACACACACACACACATACACACACACACACACACACACACACACACACACACACACACACCACACACACACACACACACACCACGTAATTAACTCTTAGGGTAGCTGTTGATTCAGGGGAACACATATGACAGGCACTCATTAGCAATATAGCCAAAGTCGTTAGCTGGGTGAGTTGGCGGTGTGCGCAGTGATGTGGGCTGGTGTGGATAAAATGCCAGGGCCCAATTCTTGTCCCAGTCCGCCCCTGGGTTGACCTTATCCTCCTCCTCTCACCAAGTAATCTCTCTCTCTCTCTCTCTCTCTCTCTCTCGCTCTTTCTCTCCCTCTCTCTCTCTCTCTCGCTCTTTCCTTCTCTCTTTCTCTCCCTCTCTCTCTCTCACTCTTTCCTTCTCTCTTTCTCTCTCTCTCTCTCTCTCTCTCTCTCTCTCTCTCTCTCTCTCTCTCTCTCTCTCTCTCTCGCTCTCTCTCTGTCTCTCTCTCTCTTTCCTTCTCTCTATCTCTCCCTCTCTCTCTCTCTCTCTCTCTCTCTCTGTCCCTCTCTCATTCCAGGACTTCATGGCAGGAGGAGATCTGAGGATGTTTGGGATCCACTCTACTGAGCCCAGGCATTTCACAAACAACGACAACAACAGGTCTGTTTCCATATAGATAGCACCCTATTCCCTAATATAGTGCACTACTTTTGACCAGGGCCCATAGGGCTCTGGTCAAAAATAGGGTACCACTTTAATTTCAATGAACTATCTACCAACCCTAACCCTAACCTTAACCCTTATCCTAACCCTAAACTTAACCCTAGCCCTAACCTTAACCTTAACCCTTATCCTAACCCTAAACTTAACCCTAGCCCTAACCCTAACCCTAACCCTTATCCTAACCCTAAACTTAACCCTAGCCCTAACTACACTGCTCAAAAAAATAAAGGGAACACTTAAACATCACATCCTAGATCTGAATGAATGAAATAATCTTGTTAAATACTTTTTTCTTTACATAGTTGAATGTGCTGACAACAAAATCACACAAAAATTATCAATGGAAATCAAATGTATCAACCCATGGAGGTCTGGATTTGGAGTCACCCTCAAAATTAAAGTGGAAAACCACACTACAGGCTGATCCAACTTTGATGTAATGTCCTTAAAACAAGTCAAAATGAGGCTCAGTAGTGTGTGTGGCCTCCACGTGCCTGTATGACCTCCCTACAACGCCTGGGCATGCTCCTGATGAGGTGGCGGATGGTCTCCTGAGGGATCTCCTCCCAGACCTGGACTAAAGCATCCGCCAACTCCTGGACAGTCTGTGGTGCAACGTGGCGTTGGTGGATGGAGCGAGACATGATGTCCCAGATGTGCTCAATTGGATTCAGGTCTGGGGAAACGGGCGGGCCAGTCCATTGCATCAATGCCTTCCTCTTGCCAGGAACTGCTGACACACTCCAGCCACATGAGGTCTAGCATTGTCTTGCATTAGGAGGAACCCAGGGCCAACCACACCAGCATATGGTCTCACAAGGGGTCTGAGGATCTCATCTTGGTACCTAATGGCTCTGCTGTTGCCGGCCGCAACCGGGAGACCAATGGGGCGGCGCACAATTGGCCCAGCGTCGTCCAGGGTAGGGGTGGGAATGGCCGGCAGGGAGGTAGCTCAGTTGGTAGAGCATGGCGTTTGCAACGCCAGGGTTGTGGGTTCGATTCCCACGGGGAGCCAGTATGAAAATAAAAAAATAATAATGTATGCACTAACTGTAAGTCGCTCTGGATAAGAGCGTCTGCTAAATGACGTAAATGTAAATGTAAATGTAAAATGTAATGGCAGTCAGGCTACCGCTGGCGAGCACATGGAGGGCTGTGCGGCCCCCCAAAGAAATGCCACCCCACACCATGACTGACCCACCACCAAACCGGTCATGCTGGAGGATGTTGCAGGCAGCAGAACGTTCTCCACGGCGTCTCCAGACTCTGTCACGTCTGTCACATGTGCTCAGTGTGAACCTGCTTTCATCTGTGAAGAGCACAGGGCGCCAGTGGCGAATTTGCCAATCTTGGTGTTCTCTGGCAAATGCCAAACGTCCTGCACAGTGTTGGGCTGTAAGCACAACCCCCACCTGTGGACGTCGGGCCCTCATACCACCCTCATGGAGTCTGTTTCTGACCGTTTGAGCAGACACATGCACATTTGTGGCCTGCTGGAGGTCATTTTGCAGGGCTCTGGCATTGCTCCTCCTGCTCCTCCTTGCACAAAGGCGGAGGTAGCGGTCCTGCTGCTGGGTTGTTGCCCTCCTACGGCCTCCTCCACGTCTCCTGATGTACTGGCCTGTCTCCTGGTAGCGCCTCCATGCTCTGGACACTACGCTGACAGACACAGCAAACCTTCTTGCCACAGCTCGCATTGATGTGCCATCCTGGATGAGCTGCACTACCTGAGCCACTTGTGTGGGTTGTAGACTCCGTCTCATGCTACCACTAGAGTGAAAACACCGCCAGCATTCAAAAGTGACCAAAACATCAGCCAGGAAGCATAGGAACTGAGAAGTGGTCTGTGGTCACCACCTGCAGAACCACTTCTTTATTGGGGGTGTCTTGCTAATTGCCTATAATTTCCACCTGTTGTCTATTCCATTTGCACAACAGCATGTGACATTTATTGTCAATCAGTGTTGCTTCCTATGTGGACAGTTTGATTTCACAGAAGTGTGATTGACTTGGAGTTACATTGTGTTGTTTAAGTGTTTCCTTTATTTTTTTGAGCAGTGTATAACCCTAACCCTTATTCTAAACCTAACCGTAACCTTAGCAAGCAGTTGCTTATCAACAGATAGTTTGTTGATAGTATGACCATCTGTAGAGCGTCTACGACTATCCAGATAAAGTGACCAACAGTAGTGCACTATAAAGGGAATAGGGTGATGGGCTCTGGTTAAAAGTAGTGCACTATAAAGGGAATAGGGTACCATGGGACATTATTCTTTTAAACGCAGAAAATCCAGTGTTTCTATATCAAACAGTTTTGTTATATTTCAGTCTTCTGTGATGTATATAAAGTGTAATATTGGGATGCAAACTCAAAATGTAATACATTTAAACTCTATATCTAACATGGTACAGGGGTCTTCTTTTTTTTAAGCCCATAACCATGTGTGTGAGGTGGGTACTTTAGTTTCAAAGTAGATTTGTTTAAGACTACCAAGAAACACTCTGTGACTCTGATTTAGCCTGTTTGGGAAAGAGAGGTAACATGCCAGGGATGGAACTGTTTGGGAAAGAGAGGTAACATGCCAGGGATGGAACTGTTTGGGAAAGAGAGGGTAACATGCCAGGGATGGAACTGTTTGGGAAAGAGAGGTAACATGCCAGGGATGGAACTGTTTGGGAAAGAGAGGTAACATGCCAGGGATGGAACTGTTTGGGAAAGAGAGGTAACATGCCAGGGATGGAACTGTTTGGGAAAGAGAGGTAACATGCCAGGGATGGAACTGTTTGGGAAAGAGAGGTAACATGCCAGGGATGGAACTGTTTGGGAAAGAGAGGTAACATGCCAGGGATGGAACTGTTTGGGAAAGAGAGGTAACATGCCAGGGATGGAACTGTTTGGGAAAGAGAGGTTGAAGCTCACACACTGTATGTATGCAATGTATGCACTCACTAACTGTAAG